GGGGGGGGGGGGGGGGTGTCTCCTTCTCTCCTCCAGGAATGAACACCCACCAGACCCCCCCAAGCATCAGATCTAGCTCAAGAACCATAAATCTCCCTGGAGTTTAATGACACTACTGAGGTCTACCTGCCTGTAGCCTGCAGTACTAAGGGGAGAAAGCTGGGAGCCTGTTCATACCTGCAGCCGCAGAAATGCAGCTCTCTTCACTGCCAGGTCAGTGGGCAATGGGAAGGGTGTGGGCCTGGAAGTGTGTGCCATCCTGGTAGGCGTGAGTGAATAGTCTTGGGTTTCCTACCATCAAGCTAGGACGCAGGCAAACGGGATCGACTTCCCTCCCCTGGGTCCATAGATTCCACCATTCCCTGACCACGTTGCTGAGGCTTTCTTTCCTGCCTCGTCTCCGGCTCAGTCCAGGGCTTGGAGCCCAGAAATGGGACTGAAGGATGACCTTCCACAGAGAGCCCCCTCCTACAGATCGTACTGGATCATACTGAAAATCTGACCACATCTCTCTCCTGCTTTGAACTCTTCCCCAGGCAGAGGACAAACTCCTGAGCTTAGAAATCGAGGACTTCCATACACTGACCCCGTCTAACAGTCCAGCTGCACCTCTTTGCACTCTGCAAGCTGTGCTCCAGCTATGGCTAACTTCTCATAGATTACCTGCTCCCCACCAATGTTCCTCCTCTGAGCCTTTGCCCTCGCTCTAAGCCAGGAGTGCTGCCCCCACTGCCTCCCCCAATCAGTCTAACTGCTACTGTGAGCAGGTCTTGCCTCCTAGACTGCGCCAAGTGCTCCAAGTTACAGTCTATTGCTACACTCTGTTTCCCAACTGCTCCTGCATCATCTGCCCCTCTGGACGTGGAACTCCTTAAGGACAAGGTCCAGGCTTCACTTCTCAAAGAAGCCACCAAACTCCAGGACACAGTGTGCATAGAGGGGTAAGACGGTGGCAGCAGTACAGCCACCAGATGCTGAACTCCACCTCTCCTTCTGTTGACAAGGCTCTGCCAAGGGGACAGCTCCCACCTGCTGCCTGCCTGTCCCCTGGCCTGGCCTGAAGCCCTCTTGCTGCCCAGCACTCCTCCCAGTTTCACCTTCCCATGCCCTTTTACACCCTAAGAGGTTCCTAGGCCCCTTTAGGGCAGGGCCTGGGAATCACACATCTAAAGAAACGGAAAAGGCCGTAGCTCTCCCCACCTGAGGCCCAGATCAAGTCTTTGGCCAACATGCTCCCTTTCCTCAGGCCTTCAGGCTTTGAGGGTCTGGCTCCAGTGCCCATCCCCACAAGCCTTGCCCTGCCCTGCCACCCCCTGATGGCTCCAGTCCATCACCAGACTCTAGGGACTTTTCCTGGGGTTTATGTAAGATGACTTGTGTGTCTGCTGCATTCTTGGGCAAGCAGCTGGGAAGCAACACACAGGACTAGAGTTTGGGTTTTCTTTCCCCGTCAGCTGCTGCGGCACGACTGATGTACAAAGCATTTGCATAAAACTAGCAGGTATTTCTTTAATAATTCTTCTTAAAAATTCCAGTTCCTGTTCTCCAGGGGTACCAGCTTCTTTGTCCAGTCTCCTCCCCCTCCTAACCCACACAACTCTCCAGATTTGGGAGTGGTGTCATCCATCTAATTTACTGATTAAGTCCTCACTGAGGTAGAGGGAGGCAGGACCACATCCTCCCACTGCGAACCTTCTGACCATCTTAATAGCTTCTGCTCTCTCCTGTCCCCTCAGCTCTACCTTGGTTTCCCCACTGAGAAGGGGGATCTTCTGCTGTCCTGCGTGCCCTGAAACTAACACCCAAGAGGAGGTCATAAATCCTCAGGGAGTTTCCCAGCTCCCCCCAGGGAACAGCCAGGGACAGAGCAGTCATAAGGATCAGGACAAGAAGGGCAAGCTGGAACGGGGGGTAGAAGAGACCAAAGTCCTTTACCGCAAAGGAGGAAACCACACCGTGGAAGGGAAATAAATAGATGGGCCCAGGGCAGCAGAGTCCAGGCCCCAGGGGCACCGTAAATGTAGGTGGCGGAGAGTGGGAGCCCTGGCACACCAGCTCCAGGCCCACTGCTGCCTCAGCCACTGAGGAAGAGACGCTTGTAGGCCTTGTTCATCTGCTCCAAGAAGATGAAGGTGAGGACGGTGTGGGGGCCCAGGCGGGCATAGTATGGTGTGAAGCCCTTCCACAGGCTGAAGAAGCCCTCATAGCGGATGACCTTCACCAGCACATCCTAGACAGACAGGCAGGCAGGGCGCTGGGGCTAGGACTTGGCCTCAAGGGCCTGTACCCCTCCCAGCCCTCCCAGCCCTCCCAGAGCATCCAACACTCCAGACCTAGCCCCCCAGCCCTGCTTCCTCACCAGCCCATTCTTGTATTCTGGCTTCCCATTAATCATTCGCATGTTCTGAATCCTGAAAGAGTGAAGGCAGGGGCATGAGAGACAGAAAGGGGGCCCTCCCACCCCTCTCCAGGCCCAGGCCTGCACACTCACCGGGTCTTGGCAATGTCCACAGGCATGGAGGCGGCAGTGGTAACAAGGCCGCTGATCATGCTGGCACAGAAGTGGCACAGGATGTTATCAGAAAAGTAGCCTGGGGGGGTGAAACAGAGGGTGGCAGTCTGCTTGGCGGTGGTGCAGGCCAGTCTGGGAGCTGAGGGCCCAGCTCTAGGTCTCACCTGAATCCAGCAAGAACTGCTTGGATTGGGAGTAGGAGGCAAGCTGGGCAGCGTTGACAACAACAGCCCGAGCCATGGTAGGGATGCAGCCCTGGAGGTGAGGGAGTGGGGGAAGAGTCAGAAATACCTGAGAACTGACCCCACATTCCCTAAGTCTCCAGCACCTCACTCACCCGCCATAGTGTGGGGACCCCCTCTTCCCGGGTGATTCGAATCAGGGCGTTAAATACATTTTTGTAGCCACGGCGCTGGTCAGCTGGAAGCCTGGTGGGAAGACAGGGAGAGGCCAAGGTCAGGACAGCCCACCCTGCCCCAAAGTAGCGGTGCGATTAGACATTGGTTCTTTCATTCTAGATCCCAGGAAATGCGGCTGGAGTTAGGTTCAGACCTAGAACTCACCGGCCATCGGCAGTCATACGGATAAGAGCCACCTCAGCTGGTGTACCCACAAAGGCACCAGTTGCACCTGCGGTCATGCCAATCAGGGCTTTCAGCAGAAAGCCAGGGGGTGTACCATCGGCCCCAGTCAGGCGCTCAAACAGCACGGTATAGATGCCAAGGCGAGTAGTGGTGTAGGTGGCCTGGCGCAGCAGGCCAGCTGACAGCCTGGAGAGCAAAGGGATCAGTGAGCATGTCAGGCCAAGGTCTGGAGCTGCCAACCCACACCCTACCTCTCATCCTGAGGCTGCAGTACCCGGTGTAAATGCCCCTTAGCCCTTCTGCCTTCAGGATGCTGGTGAGGGCATGGAAGCTGGTTTTGTACTCTCGAGTCTTGGCCCCTTCCCCGCTCAGCTGCATCCGGTTCTTCACAAGGTCCAGAGGCTGCACAAAAACTGTAGCTCCCATCCTGGGGGTAGACGGGGATGGAGTCAAGGGTCTGGTGTTCAGATCTACCAAGGCCCACTACAGCCTAGCAGCAAGGAGTTACAAAGATCAGGGCCTGCCATGCGATTAAGGATTCAAGAAGCTGGTGGGCATGTGTATGAGTCTGTGTGTATACCAAGAGCAATGGTCTTAAAAGTCCAGTTGTCCAGCAGGAGCCATTCAATGAAAGAGCTCCAAGCAGCTCCATGGGGGTGAAGCAGTGACTTGGGACGGCATGCAGTCCGACCCAGGGAGGGAAGAAGGCGGGCATCCATGACCTGTGACTCCAAGTACTCCTTCAGAAGCCATTTAATGATCTGGAACCCCACACAGCCCGGCAGAGCCAAGCAATGGGCTGGGGAACTCGGATGGCCCGGGAGGGTTGTGCAATGACCCTGCATGCAGACCAGGAGGGGCCCTGCAATGGGCGGAAAGATCCTGGCAGGCCATCCAGAACCTAGTAATATGCTGGCAATCGCACTGACCCCGTGCTGGCTCAGTTCACTGCAAGAGACCCAGAGATGAACTGGGCCCGGTTCCTTGCGCTCGTCCCTTCCTCCTCCTTTCCCATCCCTGGGGCCTGAGCTTACCCGGCCAGGCCCCCAAACAGGAACTTGACGGACTTAGGGGAGGTACGGGGCTTCCCGTCCATCCCGCCGGCCCCAGGACTCGCCGTCGCCGCCATCGCCCCTCAGTGGCCCTCGGCTCCGGGTACCGTGCGCGCGCGGCCCCGCTCGCGCCCAAGGTGACGTAATAACTTCGTATAGCATACATTATACGAAGTTATCGGAAGCTTGAAGGATACGGGCAGGAAGAGGTGTGGCTGATTTAGGAAGCCCCGAGTATAGGAGCAGTATTTACCGATTTGGAATCGCGGGAAAATAGAGCAGTTTGTTTGAAGGTCTCGCGAGATCGAGTGAGTCAGGCTAGCTAGAGTTAGGAGGTCTCGCGATAGATACAGCAAGATTTCAGCTCGCGAGACTTGAAGACACGACAGCGGCAGCCAGAGGGAGGAGGAGAGGTTGGTAAACAGGGCAGCTGCAGGATCCTGGGCACTAAGGGGAAACGATTAGGACGTCTTCTGGGGCACTGGTGCATTCTCTATCTTCATAAGCCCTCTCTTCATTTCTAACCTTTCTTTTAACCGGCCTTTTAGGGCCGGAAGTCCTTCATCTCGAGCACCCAATGCTGGAAGCGGCCGGACTTTCCTTACCGGAAGCCCTTTTCCAGGGATAGGAAGACGACCTACCTGTCCGGAAGTCCCACCTCCTTGTGCTCCCCCACCCTTCCAGAAGTTTTTCTCTCACTGTGTTTGCCTCTGTCCCTTCTCCCAGTGTTATCGCTGCACCAGAGAAGGATACATTTAGTGTCTCCCTCCAGCTCCAGTAAACGGTCTGGATATCTCACTCCCCGAGTCGGGGTTCCTTCCCCAGCGCCCCCATGTAGCTGGAAAGTGGGACCTGGGGGTGGTTGGACCCCTGGGATCTTGAAGGAGGGGCGGGGAGGGCGCAGAACTCCGCTTCTGCTCCTGCTACCGGGCCGCGGCTTTCTCAGCTTCCCCCCTCCCGCTATCATGCACCCTGCGGCCTTCCCTCTTCCTGTGGTTGTGGCCACTGTGCTGTGGGGAGCGGCCCCCATCCGGGGGCTCATTCGAGCGGTGAGTCTGAGGGGTGGATGGGGGAAGGGCACTGAAGGGAACGTTTGCAGGCTGGAGGGGAACATGGACTTTTTTGTGCGCAGACCTCGGAACACAATGCCAGTATGGACTTTGCAGACCTCCCAGCTCTCTTTGGGGCTGCCCTGAGCCAGGAGGGACTCCAGGTGATTTTCCCTTTTTTCTATTTCCTCAAATCCTCCACCCTGAGCAGGGGTTGAAGAGTCTTGCCTGGGTGAAGCTGGAGGTTGGAAAAGAGTCAAGTTAGGAGCTAAATGCACAAGCACATCTAGTATAGAATCCAGAATCTAGAAGGAGAAGACAAAGTGTCCAGCCATGGAACTCTGAGCTTATGAGGGAGACTGAAAGTGGACTAAAACCAAAGGCAGGACGAAGTGGTGCTTATCAGTAGGGTCTCGGGAGCCAGTAATCGCTTGTATGACGTTGGACAAGTTAATTATCTCTGAGCCTTAGCTTATTTTACTGTAAAATAGGATAATAACAGAAGGTATTTTAGAATTATTGTGAAGATTAAGTTAGGCAAGTAATTTGTAGTGCTTCGTCACAAAGACTGTCACATAGCTGGAACTCATTTGGGCCATAGATACTAGTAGAGTTTTGGGTAACTGGAAAGTTGAAAGGGGAGTGCGTTCTGTTTGAATATGTACTGGAGGGGGAATGTGAAACAGAATTTGAGAGAAAGTGATGTGGATGGGTAGAGAATTAAATTACAATCAGTGAGAAACTGGAAGGTAGAAGAATTGAGTTATCCTGGAGTATGGGGTACAGGATAGCACATCTGGGACAGAGAGAGATGATGGGAGTGTCCGGTGAAGAGATTTTGTTTGATGTAATTGCATCTTCAGTATGCTAAAGAGAAGATGTAGATTTCTGACTTGGGTGGGATGCTCAGACCCCAGGAATGAGAAGGAAGTAAGGATAGAGGCTGTGTGGCATGTTGGAGCCAGTGTGCTTGGTGGGCTTTGTGGGGAGCAGAACCTAGAGAGAAGAAATCCAACTGTTGTTTGCTTCTCTCCCTCAGGGGTTCCTTGTGGAGGCTCACCCAGACAATGCATGCAGCCCCATTGCCCCACCACCCCCAGCCCCGGTCAACGGGTCAGTCTTTATTGCACTGCTTCGAAGATTCGACTGCAACTTTGACCTCAAGGTTGCTGAATGTGGAGTGGGAGCTGGGAAGCTGAGGGTAAAAAAAAAAGGCACCAGGAATGAACGGAGGCAAGGCCCCTGATGGTTCTTTATCCTCTGTCTTGTTTCTCTAGGTCCTAAATGCTCAGAAGGCTGGGTATGGTGCAGCTGTGGTACACAACGTGAATTCCAATGAGCTTCTGAACATGGTGTGGAATAGTGGTAAGGTTGGGGTATCTGGACAGCTGGGTTTCCAGAAGAGCTCAGACTGAGAGACGGTGGGAGGGCTGAAGGCTTAGGGAAAAGAAGCCAATTATTCTTTGGGTGGGATGAGGTAGAAATGCCAAATGCCAGCGTTCCCAAAGGATTTAAGGAGAGTAAGGTTGAGTCCCTGGTGTAACACCCTGATCCCTGCAGAAGAAATCCAGCAGCAGATCTGGATCCCGTCAGTGTTTATTGGGGAGAGGAGCTCCGAATACCTGCGTGCCCTGTTTGTCTACGAGAAGGGGTAGGACATGTGCCTCTTTCCCACTCTTCCTTCAGTAGTTCCATGCCAGCCTGCAGCCTCACTGCCCAATCATTTAGCCTCAGCTCCCTCCTGCCCTGCCTCTTGGCTTTTCTTCCCACTCCCTTACTCTCCCATGGTCCTTGTCCAGAGCCAGTTACTTTGTCCCTCTTCCTTTGTCTCTGCCTTTCTTGCCCCTCTGAGATTGGACTTCCTTTCCCCAGGGCTCAGGTGCTTCTGGTTCCAGACAATAGCTTCCCCTTGGGCTATTACCTCATCCCTTTCACAGGGATTGTGGGACTGCTGGTATTGGCCATGGGAGCAGTGATGGTGAGTAACTTAAGGAACATGATGGGAAGAGCTGGGGCCTGTAAGGCCAGACTGGATCTGGAGGTGAGGTTGGTTTGTACTAGGTTGTCCAGTTTTGTTCCCTAAGCTTGGTCCATCCACTTTCCCTTCCCCTAGATAGTTCGTTGTATCCAGCATCGGAAACGGCTGCAGCGGAATCGACTTACCAAAGAGCAACTGAAACAGATTCCTACACATGACTATCAGAAGGGTGAGGGGGAGAGGAGGGCCTTTCCCACAGTTTACCTGGTTCTGAAGGAGTTTGTCAGCCTGAGATGCTCCTTTTCTTCTCTTTTTACCCACAAATACAATGAAGACAACAGATCACAGTAGAGCAGGAAGTGGAAAGCAAAGATGAGAAATGAAATAGTTGGGGGAAATAGAGGGTACAGATTTTGCTTATAAGGGAGAAGGTGGGGAGGATTCAGTCTGAGAAGGAAGAAATAGGTAAGGAGGGGCTGGGTCTTTAGGCCCTGAAGCCTTCAATGCCCATATAAGGATATAGCAGAAGCCCTGCCCCTCATTTCCACTCTTCCCACTCCCTCTCTCTCCACCCTCAGGCCACCTCCCCCAAAACCCACTTCCCTTACCTCTGCTTCTCTTTGCTTGTCCCTTCTAACCCCAAATTCATCCATGTTCAGCCCTGGCCTTACCTTACCTGCAAGTCTTAGCTCATTCACTGGCTTTGTTAGTCCAGGGAAAATAATTTTTGCAGAGCTTAGCTCCACCGCTGGCCTCCCAGAGTGAGTTCTTGTGGGCCTTGGTTGAGGGTGGCTCAATGAGGGACTGGATTCCTTTTTCTCCCTCAGGAGACGAGTATGACGTTTGTGCCATCTGCCTGGATGAATATGAGGATGGGGACAAGCTGCGAGTACTCCCCTGTGCCCACGGTGAGGCTCTCACTGCCTGTGCTTATGCCCCCACCCCACCAGCAGGCACCAGGTGCTTCACCTCATTCCTCTCTGCAGCCTATCACAGCCGCTGTGTGGATCCCTGGCTCACTCAGACCCGGAAGACCTGCCCCATCTGCAAGCAACCTGTTCATCGGGGTCCTGGAGATGAGGAGCAGGAGGAAGAAATTCAGGGGCAAGAGGAGGGTGATGAGGAAGGAGAGCCAAGAGATCACCCTGCCTCAGAACGGACCCCACTCCTGGGCTCCAGCCCCATTCCTACTTCCTTTGGCTCCCTGGCCCCAGCCCCTCTTGTTTTTCCTGGGCCCTCAACAGATCCCCCACCTTCTCCTTCCACTTCTTCACCTGCCATCCTGGTCTAGTATTTTCCTTCCCTTCCCCCGCACCTCTGGTGACCTATTTGCACAGGCCCTCTTCCTCCAGTCTTCTAAGTTGAGGGATAGGGGACATTTTCATCCCATGTTTCTCCCTCACCCAGCCCCATCCTTTTGAGGGGATGGGCAGGGAGGGGTGCAAAGGGACTGGGTCTTCACTTCTTGGGTTAATAAAATTGTTTTTGTGGACTAAGGAAGGGTGAGATCATTCTCATACAGGTGAACTTATCCTTTGGGGGAAATCATCCCTTTATTTGCCATAAAGGGGCAGGGGAGAACTGGAACAGACTAACCTGTAGTCATGGGGACAGCCCCAGGAGGCATTTACTGTGACTCAGGAGGAGCCCCACCCACACGAGGATGACTCAATTGGCCCTGCCTTTCCCGCAGGCCTGGACCCATTCTCTAGCCTGGATGGCTCTATTCCATTACCCACCAATTCCACTAGCACACTTGAGAACTTAGTCCTGGAAATGCCACTGTGGAGGGGTGGGCCACCTGGCTAGGTAGGCCTAAGGGAGGTGCTTAGTCCTGGACCATGGAGGCAAGAAGCTAAAAATCCTGGACTTTGTAGTACCTCAGTCTTTCAGCTCACAACCCAAAGCCAGAATGAAGGAGGCAGGTCACGGTGCCTGTCTCCCATTCTGACACCCAAGCTCAAACCACACAGCACTGTTAGTAGAATCTTTTTTATTCAGAAAAAAAACAAACAAAAAAAGTTTTCCAAGCACACACAGGAGGGATATGGGTAGGGGGAGGTGTCTGTCCATCCAGCCCTGGCCCCCAGCCCATGTGGTTTTGGCAGCAATAAGGGGTATGGGGTAATGGCCCCCAAAATAAAAATGGTGTGTGTGTATGGGAAGGAGGGGTGCAAAAGCTGTGGGGAGTGGTGGGGGGGAAGGGACAGACGAGGTCAGTACTGGGCACGTCGCAGATGGGAGGCCATTTCATAACCCAAAATAAAAATGGTGTGTGTGTATGGGAAGGAGGGGTGCAAAAGCTGTGGGGAGTGGTGGGGGGAAGGGACAGACGAGGTCAGTACTGGGCACGTCGCAGATGGGAGGCCATTTCATAACATTTCTTGTTGATCAAACCGCCGTGGACACCTTCTTTGCCCATCAGCAGAACTAGCGCTGGAGGAAAGAAAAGAGGCTAGGACCCAGGTGTCACAATTCCACCCCCTGCCAGCTGTTCAGCAGCTGTCCAGCCCTACGGGTTGTAACCCAACCTCATCCCTCTCAATCCCCCCCCACACACACACAGGGAGGCTGTCAGTCACCCTGAAACAATAGGGCTTTTCAAAAAGGGAAAATCAAGCTTAAAGGCTGAAGAGTAACAGACTAAAACTTAGGGGTCAAAGGCTTGTGTTCAGGCTAGCATCAGCTGTGCATGAGCCTGCCACTTCCAAATTTTAACAAAAGAGCTCAAAAGGTGAGACCTAAATGCTGACTTAGGACCTCACAGATCTACCTGCTCCAAGAGAAGAGAGAGTTTCTAAACTGAAAGGCTTAAAAAAAGAAGGAACTTAAGAGGTAATGCAGTTCAACTTCTTTATGTTACAAGATGAGGAACTGAGACAGCTGGGACTATCCAATGTGCCAGCATCCAGCAATGCTTGTCTCCCTTTCCACTGGAGAACCATAGAGAAAAAACACCCAAAAGATTAATGGAAGGAGGTACATTAGGGATCTCAGAGCTAGAGGAGTCAGACTCAGAAACTCACTCTTGGCAGTCATGGTGACAGTGACGTTGAAGGTAGGGGCTCCACTGGTGCTCTTGGTACGAAGATCCATGGTAAATTCCCCATCCTGCAGCAGTGAGTCCCGGATCACAGAACATTTCTGTCCCCCAAGTGTCAGCCCATTCACGAAAAAACTTGACCGATCTTTGCCAACCAGGACACCAACCTCAGCTGGCTGGAAGAGGAACCAAGTACTCATCAAGTTAGTACACCAAGGTTCCCACCTTTTTCTCCAAGGACCCACCGGCCTTTCACTTCTCTAGGAGCTAGAATCCCCGGGGGGGAGAGGTGTATGTTATGTACTTTGTACAAATCAATGAAATTTGAAAAACTCTTGGGATTATGGGAAGTTAGTGCAGAAAAATACCATGATCCTCAAACCTAGAAAACGGGATCAGAGAGGAAGGGATGACATATTCCTCTGAAGCCTTAGATCTCGGTGTTTAATAAAGCAAACCCAGGAAATAAAGGGAGCCAAAAGTCAGTGAGGAGAGGAGAGAGTCTTTGGATGCTCAGAACTCTCCTTCAGGAAAAGCAGAAGCGGAGAGGGGAAGGGAGGGGGCGGGCGAGGCAGGAGAAGCTACTTTGCCCTTATTTGGTCAAAGGTTCTGCAGGAGTTGTTAGGGGCCCGGACGCCTGGGTCCAAGTAACCTAGAGTTTAAACCTAGGTATCTATGTCCCGAGATGAAGCAGACCCCTGGGGGCTTTTCGGGTAAGTTGGAAAACTTTTGAAGGTAGCCGGGGACTAGACACAGCAAGCCAGCTTTCGGGTCCAGATACCCCAGGGAACCTTTTCCCCCCACCCCCTTACACCCCAAGCCCCCACATCCGGTCCCCTCCCGCCCG